TAACATTTAAATGTTAAATATAATGTCTAAATGGTAAATCCTAAATCTAAATGTGTATATCTAAATACAAAAGTTACGTGTAAATGTGGATAAATGTTAAAGTTGACATTAAAGTATTTCAGAATGATTGCAGCCTTTGCTGTTGGTGTGTGGCTTTTTGTTGTGATGCCATCATCCTGTGACAAAAGCAAACATTGCAAAAGCTGCCAATGCTTCCCTACAAGACATCAAACTTGTAGTTTGGTGCCGGTGTCCGAGCTGCACTTCAAACTGCTGGACCAGTACCATCAATATTGTTTTTAATAAACACATTTTGAATTTTAATCTAAAAGGTCGTCTTTAGTAGCATTAGCAGCAGTAGTGTTAGCTTTTGTTGCAGGGTGATGACGTCACAACAAAAGCCATGAACCAATGGCAAAAGCTGTGTTCCATTTCTAAATTCTTTTTTGTAAACTTTAGCTGCAACATTTAAGATTCAATTTGTATATTTATATTTACACCTTTAAATTTAGGAGTGAACATTGAAATATGTTATATAGTAAAAATTAGCAAAATGTCAGAACGGTGAGCTAAATAACAAAAAAATGTTAGTGGAAACTTTTAACTAGGATTTTACACTCAGAAAGTGAGCTAAATGAAAATGTGTTAGTGACTTTTAAACATTTTTATCCCCATACYAATGAGGGCATTGCTTAGGTTTGATGTAGTGAAGAAAAAGTTGAGTCGAAAGGCTCATGAGTTCATGATTTAATTGTTTGTCAACCTTCCAACTACCAACCATGTCTCAACCAAGAACTYAGTTCAGAATAAAGTCTCTGGTCTTCCTCATCAAAAGGAGTCAGATGAAGTGGTTCATCTTTCCTTGGCATCTGCTTGAGGGGTTTTCCACACACATTCCACTGAGAGGAGACCTCAGGCAGACTCAGAGTTTGCTTGTGGGATTAGATTTGGAACATTGGGAATGTTTGGACTCCCACAAGAGGAGCTGGAGAGTGTTGCTGGGGAGAGATGTCTGGATTTTCCTCCTGGACCTGCTGCCTTTACAGTTTCCTGGATTAAGCAGAAAAAAAAGAAGAATACTGTTTCTGCTTTTAGAAGCTTTATTCTAGAAATTTAAATACGCACAGAATTCAGTTCACCGTTTTAGAAAATAGGGCCGTTTTATCTTTTGTTTAAAACCTCTTCAGAGAACATTTTAGCACGCCGACGGTAGATGTCTTAGCATTTTGTTTTGCCTGCTGGTGTCACAGTAAAAAAACAGGTTCTGCAAACACGATTCTCAAAAACAACTGGCTCGTTCGTGCCATCTTCACACATAAAATGCGTGTGAGCGAACATGTCGTGAGCGCTCAACTAATATGGGATTTTGCGTGCAAGTCCAAACAAGTGATGCAGTCAAATTGGGTTGACTCCCCGTTGTGAGAAAACCTCCCCTGGCAGAGCAAAAGTCTGTGTTGTTTGGTTGAATGGGTCTGCCGTCTTGCTGAGAGCGTTGACATGCTTCATGATGTGATTTCATCCCTTCTTTTTTTCTCTATTCCTTCTCACCACTGTTCGACACTCATGAATATCTCATTACTGCTGGATCTAACTTTCTTCTACTGATTTACCTGTGTGTATTTATTATTAATATAGTCATATCAATTCTGAAATCAATTTTATGTCACTGTTTTAAAGCGCCACATAAACTAGAACCAGCATAAATTAACACAAATAATATGGAGGAAATTTATTGGGAAAAAAAGAGCTGTTATTAATCTTCACTTACTGAACAGATCTGTAATTTTTTACTTATTGATTAGCTTGTTGGTGATTAACGTGAACCTGACCTGTGTGCAGGTTTTTGGGTGTCCCTCCTGGAAGAGGAAGCTGTCCCCTGACAGGACCTTTACCCTTTGACCTCATCTATACTGACTACCACGGTTTGCAGCAGATGAAGCAGCATATGGGTCTGTCTCTGAGGAAGCACAAGTATGTCTGTCTCTGTCAAAAAACTGTGACTTATATTTGTTCATCACCCTCTTTTGTTTGCTATTTATTTCTTTTTGGTGTTTACTGGTTGTGGTACAAACTCTACAAATCATCAACTAAAATTAMGCTTTTTATTTTAGCCTCTTTAAAAACTGATCAGTAATCTCCTGCTGGCTTAATGATTAATGTATTAAAGTCATAAATTAAAAATGTGTCAGTGCAAAGTACAAATAACTTAATAATTTAGTTTACGAAAGCTCAAAAAAGGCTTCATGTTACAACTTTTAACACACTGTAGCTGCATAGACAAGAAAATACATCACTTTACTTTACCATGCCATACCATGCCATGCCATGCCATGCCATGCCATGCCATACAATAAACCTTGTGGTATTTGAAGCAAATCCAGGAAATTATGGAAATGTGAGAAATAGTTTCAGTTTGTTTTCATTCTGCATTTACTCTGAAGCCATAAGATTTCACATTTTTATAATTTGGTAAATTCCAAATGTGTTCTCCTAATTTATATAAGACATCAATAAAATCTAAATCAGCAGCAGCACTCCTTGGCTTTAAGTGATGAAACCTTAAAGTCCCAACTTGCATCAAATATGGAGGGCTTTAACAAATTTGCTCACATTAAATTACACCAATTGATTTTGACCTGTCCTTTTGAAAAGTTTCTATTGATAAAAAGTGTTAAAAGGTACTTTGTAAAACTCATTATTAATCCCAGATTTTCTTTTTAAACCTRATCTTGATGTCTTTTAACAGGATTAGATGGAAGTGTAATAAGAGAAATGTTGCCTGTTTTGAAATGTTTTCTTTTCATTTCAAGAGACATTAAGCACATTTTAAGTCCTTATAAGATAAAAGCACAAACATCTTTGTTATTTTTGACTCAGACTCTCTTTCAACCAAAGTTTTATCTGTTCCACCTCGACTTTAAAATAAGCACAGCCCGTTTCTCATTTTGTCTCAGGTGCCACATCCGCGTGATTGACACCTTTGGGACTGAGCCTGCCTACAATCACGAGGAGTACGCCACCCGTCACGGCTACAGAACAAACTGGGGCTACTGGAACCTTCACAGCCAGCAGTACATGACCATGTTCCGTATGTGGAGTCTAATTTCATGTTTCAAGCATGCATTTACACTTGGGGGATGACCCTTGGGTGTCATTTAACATTTTTTTCTGGATCTTGAGTCAAGAAGTTGTTTTGATGAGTTAAAATGGACAGGTGGAAGCGCTGATGTGTGTCACTGAAAGTGCACACCAGATTGTGGGAGTTTTAAAACGCCTCAGGCCATTAGAGGCCAAGCTTCGGGCCACCAGACAGAGAGCTCACTCAGAACAGCTGTGCCTGCACAGATGCCTGCAGCTTCCTACTTCTGGCTAAGCACCACAAGTTGTACACATGCAGGAATATACAAAAACACTACCACACACACACACACACACACACAGGCTCGTGACCGATTTGGGGGAAACTAATGGGAGCTAAAACTTCAGGTTGTCTAAACTTTTCAGCAAAGCTCGGCCTGGAAACATGTCCATTTTCACCTCAGGTCTGGACTTAAAATGTTTCCTACACACATCAGAGCTGTGGGAGATTTCCATTCACTGTGCTACCATTTATTGTTGCTACCTGAAACTTTATACTGTAAAAGCTTAAAGCAACAGCGCTTAAAGGCTCCTCCAGTGTCCACCACTTTCATCTACCAAAGATTTGTTCAAAGTCATATGTTCAATTGGTCGCCTGGATCATCGCAACACCTCCTGTATTTACTGAGATGCTGACTGCATTTGGAGCCATATATAACACTCCRTTGCTGTGTTCGTCCTTGGCAGCCCACACACCTGACAACTCCTTTATGGGCTTTGTGGCGGAGGAGCTGAATGAGACCGAGAGGCTGTTTATTCAGAGGAACAAAGTCAACAACATGGCGGTTGTGTACGGCAAAGACGCCAGCATGTGGAAGGTAAGAATAAAATCATAAAGGCTGAAAAGCAAAAGTGAAAAAAATTGAGATAGCTTGTGTGTRGTTTGTGTTGCCCTCTTTAGCCTAATATTTTTGCTAACTTGTGGTAACACAAGGGAGACTGAATGTGATAAATATTCGAATCAGGTTTGGAAAACTWCTAAAAATGACTTTGAACAGCTGTGAAACATCCACAACAACCCATTTCTCCTCCAAGACTTGGGTCTCGAGCGGAATGCCAGAAGAACAATTGTATTTGTTTAGGTAAATTTTCTGCTAAGGCTTCTCACTCTTGCCGCAACTTTGAAGAGCGCCGCTGCATCCCTCAAGGTTCGTTTCGCTTGAATGTGGTTGCAGCTTTGTTCCTACACAGCCAGAGCATTCCCCCTGGTTCTCARAGCAACCTGAGCTGCATTGTTTCAGAACATTTGTGAATCTGAGAGTTTGCCGTGTAAAACAGCCAAATCTCCGTGGAGACTCAGCACCAAGAGAACACTCCCCGATGATCTTGTCTGCTTCTGCTTTCATTACGAGGCCCACAAAAGAGATTCCTGCTTTTATAAAAAAAAAAATTAAAAAAAAGATGAACGTCAAATATTTTATGTAGTGTTGTCTTTTTCTCATTACATCTGCCTTCCTCGTTTACTGGTGTCTTTTTTTTTCATTTTCAATTTGTGCTGCTCTTTATGTCTCGTGCCTTACTGCATCATTGATGGATCCACACAGCTTCAAGTAAGTACTCCTGTATTTCAATGGCGATATCAAATCTTCAAAAAGCTACAACTCCAAAGCAAGTGTCTGACTTGAATACAGAAACTGGATTGCTTAAGGTGCATTCTGTGTTTGAAATATCAGGCAGAAKTTCTCTCTGGAGAAGCAAGCTAACAACTAGTTTGTAAAGACCAAAGCAGGTTTGCTGCTATGCTAAAACTCTACCCTCCAAAAGTTGCACAAAGAATTGTTTGTTTTGCACTCAGTTAGCCTGTGGTGATCTATGTGAAACTTTGCAAAACAAAATGTGGCAAGCAATACCAAGAGAAGTAACTATTTAATAGAAAACTAAGCCAGAGTAATGARACAAACACATGACTATGTTGAGTTTGGAGCCAGGACTTGGCTCCAATTTGGATTAAGCCTATTTCCAATGGTGGAGAATCATAATGGATTGAAACACAAGATTTTTTTAGGACATTTATATGCTTCCAACTTTGTGATAACCAACATAGCAAAATATGTTGGGCCAACATCTGACAAGGTACTTACACACTGAACACTCAGTCCAGACACCACCAAGAATGATGGCCTATTGGTGGCCCAGATGTCATTTGCAAGAGGTGGTCCATTTATGGGCCAACACCACAACCAGGTTATGGCATTGTTAAATTTGGGCCACRTAAACCAAACAYCAATTGTGCCAGTTATAAAATGCCAGAATTGGCCCACTTCCTGTTGACAAACCACTTGCCATGGCAGCAGTCAGCCAGCAGTGCTAGGTGGTCCACACCTATCTGCTTTGTGACAASACTTTAGGGACAGACCAGTTCTGTTTCAACATGATTATAAAGGTCTAGTTTGAGGAATTATGTGAGGAAGAACTTGACTGGCCCACACAGTGCCTTGACCTCAGCCCCATTAGCAACTTTGGGATGAACTGGAATCAAGTGTAAACCAGATCTTCTCATCTGAAAACCAGAGTATAACCACACCACAAAATTTGTTTGGCCCAGCTCTGGCCCATACAATGTACTAACACTCGGCCCAGATACAGCAAAGAATGACAGCTCTTTAGTGGCCCAAATGTGGTTTGCCAGAGGTGCTCCWTGCAAGGACCAGCACCACATGAACCAAACCACAGCTGGGTCTGTTGTAGCATGCCATCATGTAAACAGTGCCATCATAGTGCCACCTGGTCCACATCTGGTTAACAAACCAATTCCCATGGCAGCAGTCAGCCAGCAGTTCCAGCCTTATTACCAAATCTGATCCACACTTGTCCGCAATGAAATTCACCTCATAAAGCCTGTATAGAATGAGTCAGCACAAATTCCTACAGAAGCACAAAAATGTTATGGAAAAGCCACCCAAGAGAAATGAAACCCAACCGACTCCAAACATTTCATGTGTGTACGTTGATCAGGTGTGGCTAAATATATTTATTCATGCAGTGTATGTGAACTACGTGATTTCTATCCATTTCATTTATCTGTAAGGGTAGCTTCTGCCTGATATTCTGAACTGAAAAAAATTCTACTTCAGGCAGTTTTTTTTTTGGATTACTAATAAACAAACAGCTTCAAAAAAGTCCAATTTATTCTTCAACTTGTTCTGTCTAAAAAGCACRTTATTCACTTTATTTAAGCAGTAGCCTAATAAATGTTATACAGTAAAAGCGGAAGTATGCAATTTTATGCACGTAAAGAAAAATATTCAAGTTCAAACAAATACATGAAATACTTGTTACTCTATGTTTTCATTGCCRTATTTCACAGGCTTAAATTTCAATTTGGTGACAGATTAAGAAACTTTGATTTTACCACAATGCTTCTCTGAGACATTAAAATGTACCAACGTTCAGATGACGTATAGTACATAAATGATTATACCCTGAAGGTATAACTTTTTGTATCATTTGTAACATCCCCCCACAAAATAACCAGAGTTTAAAATAAACTTATTCAGTTTTTAATACATTTATGTAAAGGACTGYGATTATTCTTTTGTTGTTGCTGCATTAGAATCCCACTGATGCTGGGTAGTTATTAGTCGCTAACATGATGATGTTTGTGCAGGCTGAGCCTTAGCTCATTAGATCTGGTTCTGTTGCCTCATTTCCATCATCAGCACCTTTGGGCTTTTTTTACCCTTACTACGTGGCTGTGTGTTTGTGACACTATGATCAGCTCAGCTCATTTAATTGCTGAAAGCAGGATAGATGCTGCAGCAGGAGTGATTTTTAAAGTGTAAACTCAACATAATATGAATCAAAACAAGAAGGRGCATTTAAAGCATTAGTAGGATTTTTTTGTGGAAGCCTGCACTGCTGGAGTTTGAATGCAGCTTTTGAATACAAACAACATTCAGAAGGAATGTGAGGCGATTATAGGTGCATAACTTACTGTCAGTTTTGTTGAAAGACAGTCCACAAATGAAAAAAAAATTGCTAGAATTTGCACCTTAGTAACAATTTAATAAGACTATTATGTTATAATCAAAACGTTAAGAGGTACRTTAGACAAATAACCAGATGGTACAAGTATGACAAAGTTTTGAAATAACTATCTTCATGTGGGAAACATTTGGCAACATTTTAAATAAAACAGCTCATTTAATCATACATTTTTCTGGTATGGGGTTTGGGAGAGACAATGAAAAGGCAGGTTTGGTTTGTCTCCTGAGCTAAAATGAAATAATTGTTGTGTCTAACACAATGAATAAAAATAGATGATGTGAACTTTTTGACGTAAGCTGCACAGGCTCYATAGGTTTCTCATGGTTCTAATGAGGCATGGACAAAGGGCTTTTAATGATGGACTCAGCAGATTGTGCAGATCCTGTAATTTGCAGAGAGAAACTGACGTTTAACACTTTTCCCATAGCATCTACTAGAAACTGAAAAAATGTCCTGCTTTTGCTGTCTTCATGTATGAAAAGGCAGACCAGACGTGTGTTGATAGATTGGTTGAGGCTAAACTCAGATAAGAGTAAATATAAATGTCATTTACCTTCTCTGATTTATATGCTTAACTCATTTTTGCCTACTTCTATGTGGTAAAGGGTAAGGAGAATTTCTTGGCAATTCTGAATCTCTACATGGAAATCCACGGCACTGTGTACTACGAGACGCAGCGTCCCCCAGAGGTTCCTGCTTTTGTCAAGAACCATGGTCTGTTGCCTCAGCAGGAGCTGCAGCAGCTTCTAAGAAAAGCTAAGGTAGGCCAATGGGTACTGAGACTTAGATATAAACTTAGCACAAAAAGTGTTTGATAGATTTTTTTCTAAGTTGTAACACTGCTTATGGCAATAAATTTTATACCATTAATAAATCTGTTCATTTCCCTTTTGCATGGTGCCACATTTGTAAGGAACAAACATTTGTGGAATGAGGAGTGAGAATTGGCCAAATCTTCTCTGCCAAACAATTTATTTTGCCGTTGCTATTGCCACTTGTTTTGTTCTTCTGGTACCCGGGAAAGATTTATTGCCAAGAAGCATTGTTACAACTAAGAAATATTCAAGCCAAACATGCATTTCCTTACTTTTTTGAACTAAGGATAATATACTGTAT